GCATCCACCCTGCTGAGTATGACCATTTGTTTTTATATCTTCCCGCTCTAATCTTTTAAAGTGGATCTTCACCCTCCTGTAATATAAGGCTCATATTAATTCTCATGCATGGATATTTAATCTTTGGATATTTTAACTTTTTTCCCCTCAGTAAATACCTTTTTTATTTAATTTTCCCACCGCTTTCAGCTGCCCAGGCAAATGGCATCTTCAGGATGTCCTGTTGACTCCTGGGGATATCGGCATCATAAATCCCAGCAGCCTTCAGGCATCCTAAGCCCTGTGCTGAAATGAGCATGTAACCCCTGCAGTGCTGGGGGAGCCCGATGACAGTTCAGCTCTAACCCTTCCTGCTCAGCTCCAGCGTCCATTTAATAGGGTCTGTACACCCAAGAAGGATTGCCAATCATGTGATCACAGTGATTGGTTGTCACTACAGTCACATGATCGGGAGCTGTTCTGCCAGCTACCAATCCTGAATGGGGACTGAGAGCTGTCTTTGACAGCTCAGTCTCTGTGCTGGGAGTGCTCTCAGAGTAGAAACATCAATCACTTGCTGATGTAAAGCCCACCCTTTTGTACCACACATGGACAGCAACAGGTTAATTAACACGCATACTTCTATGAATTGGTGTTTTCAATTGCTGGACGTTTACCTGACTTATTTATTACAGGGATTTACATGCTGTGCATTGAAATCAGTCCCTGTCCTCATGGAGCTAACAATCCAATGTCCCTAAACACATCCCAGGACCAATTTAGAGACGAGCCACTTATCCTATCAGCAGGTCTCTGGAGTGTGGGAGGAAGCCCATACAAACTCCATGCAGATGGTGTCCTGTTTGGGATTTGAACTGAGGACCCAAGCGCTGCAAAAGGCAGGTGTGTTGATCACTAAACCCCAGTGATCTAATATTGTGACATGTCTTTAAGAGAAAAACGAGTTTGGCTGATTCTACACCGAGCTGAACTGGGTGACAACAGAAATACCCCAATCCAGGAGATCAGATGGGGGGGCACTCATTGGAGGGGTCTCCGGTCCATTAGGCTGTAGGGGGGGGGGGGGGGGGGGCAAAGTCATGATTCTGATCCTGATATGACAAGCAATTCCTGACAAGGCCTGGATACAGGATCCAATACCTGGTACACACAGCAGATCTGCCACCATCCCCAATCATTCCATCATCGGATCTGCCTGTCAGTGGGAGGTGTACATAGACAGCCCTCCTCTGTCACCTGCATGGAGGATGCCCAGTGCTCCCCATGCACACCCAATCACATGTCCTGGCAGGGAGCTCTGACATCACAACAATGACAGATGACATCATCAGAGATTGCAGAGAAATGGTTACCTGATGACAGTGCCCGGGGTGGCTCGTGCCTCTGATGGAACTTTCCCGCAGTGATAGGACAATAGGAGAGGACAGACGGCTCTGCGGACAGGGGACCGGGAACTTGGGACCGACTACAGGACTCAGCACAGCATGACGTCACGGTCACTGCACTGATGCCGCCTCAATGCCCCACCGCCGGAGCGACCCCTGCCGGCCACACTGACACTTGTACGCAGAGGCCGAGGCTGCGGCTCCGTTACCAGGGAGCCATTGAGAAGCCGGCAGAGGGGCGGGGCTAATAGCCGGCCTCCGGACTGGCCAGTGGCAGAACGAAGGGCGAGTATTGTCAGATGACTGGCGTACTCAACGACCAATAGGAATGGAGAAAAGGTAACATAGGCTTGCGGCATGTGACAGGTGGTAAGAGTCTACCAAAGGAGGGAGGAGCTTGCGGGACTCCTCAAGGCTGGCACGGCGGAGGGAGGTTGGCAGAGAAGAGGGGCGGGTGGACACGGAGGCTGGTGGTGACCACATTACAGAACGCAACTCTCCGTACCAGCGAGCTCTGAGGTAAGTGCACGTCAGTCAGTGGAAGGCTCGGAGTGTGTCAGTGCAGAAATACCAGGGAGTAGTGCCACAGGGGAAGGGGCGCAAATGACCCGAAGCTGAATACATGGAGACCTTGCTTCCCGCCCACTTCCTGTATCTGCCAATGAAAAGACCCGATACGCGAAGGAGTACAGTGGGCCACGCCCCGTCTCAGCACTAGCCGGCGGATCTGGGAGCAGGTCAGGATTGGGTGGGCGTGGTATGGGAGCAGGGCAGTGCTTTTGTGGGTGTGGTTTGGAACACGCTGTGGCAGGACTGGCAGTGACTGCGGGATCACACAGTACACGTGTCCTGTTATTAGAGGGGACAGGTCAGGGTAGGTACAGTGTGCACTCACCTGCAAGAATCATAGTCCTTGTAATGGACTGGAAGGCTGTGTATACTTACACTGATCAGCCATAACATTATGACCACTGACAGGTAAAGTGAGTAACACTAATTATCTCATAACAATGGCAGATGAAAGTGAGAGGGATATATAAGGCAGCAAGTGAACATGTTGTCCCTGAAGTTGTGTTGAAAGCAGAAAAAAACGAGCAAGTGTAAGGATCTGAGTGACACTGACAAGGACCAGATTCTAATGGCTGGGTGGCTGAGTCAGAGCAACTCCAAAGCTGCAACTCTTGTGGGATGTTCCTGGTCTGCAGTGGTCAGGACCCACCGAAAGCGGTCCATGGAAGGAGAACCAGCGATAAGGTCATGGACAGCCAAGGTTAAGAGATGCACATGGGACAGCCAAGGCCAAGAGGTGCACGTGGGGGAGCCAAGGCCAAGAGGTGCACGTGGGGCAACCAAGGCCAAGAGGTGCACGTGGGGGAGCCAAGGCCAAGAGGTGCACGTGGGGGAGCCAAGGCCAAGAGGTGCACGTGGGGCAGCCAAGGCCAAGAGGTGCACGTGGGGCAGCCAAGGCCAAGAGGTGCACGTGGGGCGGCCAAGAGGTGCACGTGGGGCGGCCAAGAGGTGCACGTGGGGCGGCCAAGAGGTGCACGTGGGGCAGCCAAGGCCAAGAGGTGCACGTGGGGCAGCCAAGGCCAAGAGGTGCACGTGGGGCAGCCAAGGCCAAGAGGTGCACGTGGGGCAGCCAAGGCCAAGAGGTGCACGTGGGGCAGCCAAGGCTAAGAGGTGCACGTGGGGCAGCCAAGGCTAAGAGGTGCACGTGGGGCAGCCAAGGCTAAGAGGTGCACGTGGGGCAGCCAAGGCTAAGAGGTGCACGTGGGGGAGCCAAGGCTGGCCTATGCAGTCAGGTCCAATAGGAGATCTACTGTACATCAAATTGATGAAAAGCTTAAAAGAGAAGTATTGGGTTAATTTATTCCCCCAATAAACTTAGCTGTGAATGCAGCATCGGTCTGATGCTTAATCTGTTCCCTGCCGGCTGTAAGTCTAGGTTCACACCTATGCGTTTTCCTTTGCGCTTTGCAGAAATGCACAGCAGTCCATTTAACATGATTTCCTATGGGACATGTTCACATCTCCGCGTTTTCACCTGGTGCGTTTTTGGAAAGGGTCAGGGACTTTTTTAAATGCAAAACGTTGCGTTTTTGGTTTTATAGATTTTAATGGAGACGCTGCAGAAATGCATGTAGTTCATTATTTATGCGTTTTAATCTGCCCAACAACAAATTGGAAAAAAATGCAAAAAGCCTGTGCCAATCCCTCCTCTGACAACTGCCGGTTCTCGGCATGTACTTTCCCTCACGCTGTGACAGCGTGAGGAAAGTGCAGCCGATAACCGGCAATTGCATTTCCCGGTGATCAGTGTGTCATTGGACATGGCTGATCACTTGGTAAAAGGCCGCTGTGATTGGGCTTTCACCATATCACGTGATCAGCTGTGTCCGCAGGACACAGCGATCACGGAGATCGCCTGATGCGCGCCCCCGGGGGCATGCAGGAGAGCGCATTCTGGGAGGATGCCATATGACGCCCTCCCAAAATTGGCAGGCCGCAGTGAAGCCGTCATTCAGCTATCTGCGGTCGGCAAGTGGTTAAGTGGGTGGTTATAATGTTATGGCTGACCAGTGTGTGTATATACAGTATATATATATGGCAAGGACTTCCAAGGACAGGAGTAGAGATAAAGGAGTTGTTTGTGGAAATATTTCAGAATTGTACGTGGTGGAGCTCTCAGGAAGATCACAGCTGGATCTGTCCCCATGCTGCTGGCTTAAAGGCACAGTCCATCTTTTGCAATAAATAAATAAATGTACACACATTGATTAATAGCAATATTTGCCTGCAAAGCATTGCAGCGGGAATCAGTGGGGTGGTGGGTGAAGTGCTCAGGCCCCTGCAGACTATTGCCCCACCCCAGGTCTGTACAGAGGTATGGACCTTTATTTTAGGGCCTGGAGGAAGGATCAATGGAGTATGAGTGCAGTAATATCACTATGATGTCCATAGAGATCTATGAGTCCCTCTGCCAATGGGACTCATCGTCTGTTCATTCACAGATCCTGTAAATGAATGAAGTGACGGAGCCACACAAAACCATGCCAAATTCAAAAATACACTGGATACTCCAGGAAATAAAAACCCTGGTTAGTAAGAGAGATGGAGTGGAGAGATGTGGGATGTGGCCATATTTCATGTTACACCCCAAATAGGATTATAACATGAAGGATGGTCAGAAAGGTTGACTTCGCTTTTAAATGCCACATACATGTTACAATCTTTATACAGTCTCCTTTACAGTGATCACAACTATGTAATCTAACAACCCATTTGAATCTGAAGTTTAGTGATTTAAAAGAAATGAGGGACCACCGTCATGGAACATTTAAAAGACGCAGAGTTGAGAATCTACATACTTACAATCCAGTGAGAGCACCAGACAGATGTCCAGGAGTCCAAGGTGATTTAATGAGCATTCTGCCGGGAACCAATTTTATCATTAAATTATCTTGGACTTCTGGAGGTTTCTTTGGAATTCTCATTGTCTTGTATGTACCGTATTTTTTGCTACATAAGACGCACCTGACCATAAGACGCGCCTAGGTTTTAGAGGAGAAAAATAAGAAAAAAAGTATTCTGAGCCAATGGACTGCAGACATAGTACAGGAAATGACCAGAGACTGCGGACACAGTACAGATGACCAGAGACTGCAGACATAGTACAGGAGATGACCAGAGACTGCGGACATATAATAGGGGATGACCAGAGACTGCAGACATAGTATAGGAGATGACCAGAGACTGTGGACATAGTACAGGAGATGACCAGAGACTGTGGACACAGTACAGGAGATGACCAGAGACTGCAGACACAGTACAGATGACCAGAGACTGCAGACATAGTACAGGAGATGACCAGAGACTGCAGACATATAATAGGGGATGACCAGAGACTGCGGACACAGTACAGGGGATGACCAAGAGACTGCAGACAGTACAGGGGGTGATCAAGAGACTGCAGACAGTACAGGGGGTGATCAAGAGACTGCAGACAGTACAGGGGATGCTCAAGAGACTGCAGACAGTACAGGGTATGATCAAGAGACTGCAGATAGTACAGGGGATGATCAAGAGACTGCAGATAGTACAGGGGATGATCAAGAGACTGCAGATAGTACAGGGGATGATCAAGAGACTGCAGATAGTACAGGGGATGATCAAGAGACTGCAGACAGTACAGGGGATGATCAAGAGACTGCAGACAGTACATGGGATGATCAAGAGACTGCAGACAGTACATGGGATGACCAAGAGACTGCAGACAGTACAAGAGATGATCAAGAGACTGCAGACAGTACAGGGGATGATCAAGAGACTGCAGACAGTACAGGGGATGATCAAGAGACTGCGGACCTTTGGGGAGGGAGGGGGAGTGGGTACCTGAATTTGACAGGTACCCGCTTCCACTTCCGCTGAGTTGTCCTCCCTTTAGTGTGGGCACCTGGCTGTGACAGTTGGGTGCCCACTGCGCATGCATGAGAAGCGCTGTGCATTGTGAATGGCCTGGAGTTGTCTGGGACCTGTCAGGCAGTGGGCACCCAGCTGTCACAGATGCCCACGCGGGAAGATGCTCCATAAGACGCAATAACATTTTCCCCCATTTTGGGGGGGAAAAAAGTGCGGCTAATGGAGCGAAAAATACGGTAAGTGGATTCTCAACAATATAAACTTGACAGGGGTTTTAGCATTTCACACTCTACCCAAAATAAAAAAAAACAATGTTACATACCCTTTAATATAATTTTATTTCTGTTTCCGTCTATGGCACCTTTAATTTTCCAGAACTGTCCAACAACTTTAAAACCTAACTCCATGTTTAAAGTACACTGCTCAAAAAGATTAAAGGAACACTTTTAACCAGAGTATAGCATCTATATAGGATATTGATCTGGTCAGTTAAGTAGCAGAGGGGGTTGTTAATTAGTTTCAGCTGCTTTGGTGTTAATGAAATGAGCAACAGGTGCACTAGATGGGCAACAATGAGACGATCCCCAAAACAGGAATGGTTTTACAGGTGGAGGCCACTGACTTTTTTTTCCCTACTCATCTTCTCTTTTCTTTTTCACTAGTTTTGTATTTGGCTAGGATCAGTTTAACTATTGGTAGCATGAGGCAATACCTGGACCCTACAGAGGTTGCACAGGCAGTCCAACTCCTCCAGAAGGTTTGCTGCATCTGCCAGCACAGTCAAGAGCATGGAGGAGATTTCAGGAGACAGGCAGTTACTCTAGGTCTAGGAGAGCTGAACAGGGCTGTAGAAGGTCCTTAACCCGTCAACAGGACCAGTATCTGCTTCTTTGTGCAAGGAGGAACAGGATGAGCACTGCCGGAGCCCTATGACCTCCAGCAGACCACTGGTGTGAATGTGTCTGACCAAACAATCAGAAACAGACCTCATGAGGGTGGCCTGAGGGCCCGACATCCTCTAGTGGGCCCTGTGCTCACTGCCCAGTACTGTAGAACTCGATTGGCATTTGCCATTGAACACCAGAATTAGCAAGTCCACCACTGGCTCCCTGTGCTTTTCACAGATGAGAGCAGGTTCACCCTGAGCATGTGACAGACATGAAAGGGTCTGGAGAAGCCATGGAGAACGTTATGCTGCCTGCAACATCGTTCAGCATGATCGTTTTGGTGGTGGGTCAGTGATGATCTGGGGAGGCATATCCATGGAGGGATGCACAGACCTCTACAGGCTAGACTGCCATTGGGTATCGGGATGAAAACCTTGGAGCCATTGTCAGACCCTACGCTGGTGCAGTGGGTCCTGGGTTCTTCCTAGTGCACGACAATGCTCGGCCTCTTGTGGCGAGAGTATTCAGGCAGTTCCTGGAGGATGAAGGAATTGATACCATTGAATATCCCCCACACTCGCCTGACCTAAATCCAATAGAACACCTCTGGGATATCAAGTTTCAGTCCATCAGATGACGCCAGGTTGCACCTCAGACTGTTCATGATCTCAGTGATGTCTTGGTCCAGATCTGGGAGGAAATACCCCGATGTCAGGCATGCATACAAGCACGTGGGGGCCATGCAAAATGCTGAGTACCATTTTGAGTTGCTGCAATGACATTTTTGCAAAATGGATTAGCCTGCTGCATAATTTTTTCACTTTGATTTTCAGAGTGTCTTTGAATTCAGTCCTCTGTAGGTTGACAGTTTTCATTTCCATCCAACAATGGGTCATCCTTACGTTCCTAACACATTACCCAGTCCATGTCAGTATAGATATCCAGCATGATATTTTTCCCCATTGAGATCTGATGTGTTTTCAAAGTGTTCCTTTAATTTTTTGAGCAGTGTAGTTGTGAACATAGACACTTCCTAATACAGTTAAAGCTATGCAGGTATCATAACTACTTTTCCTTAGTGGGGTTACAGGAAATTGTGCAGACACACAGCATGCCTATATTCCATTGTCTGGTCACTCAGAGGCAGGGGATTGGAAGGGGGCTTGTGCCAGAGGCAGGCTGGGATTGGGAGAGGGCGTGTGCCAGAGGGAGGCTGGGATTGGGAGGGGGCGTGTGCCAGGGGGGGAGGCTGGGATTGGAAGGGGGACGTGTGCCAGAGGGAGGCTGAGATTGGGAGGGGGCGTGTGCCAGAGGGAGGCTGAGATTGGAAGGGGGCTTGTGTGCCAGAGGCAGGCTGGGATTGGGAGAGGGCGTGTGCCAGAGGGAGGCTGGGATTGGGAGGGGGCGTGTGCCAGAGGGAGGCTGGGATTGGGAGGGGGCGTGTGCCAGAGGGAGGCTGAGATTGGAAGGTTGACGTGTGCCAGAGGGAGGCTGGGATTGGGAGGGGGCGTGTGCCAGAGGGAGGCTGAGATTGGAAGGGGGACGTGTGCCGAAGGGAGGCTGGGATTGGGAGGGGGCGTGTGCCAGAGGGAGGCTGAGATTGGAAGGGGGACGTGTGCCGGAGGGAGGCTCCAATTGCACAGAGCCGGTAAGTATGGCTTGTTTGGTATGAAAAAAAAAAAAAATACATTTAGATCACTTTAATATTTTCAAAAGTTACAATAAAAATACAGCAACTAGTACGCAGGATCTTGCTGGCAGAAGTTGTCAGCAGGGTCCGGCGTAAAAGGTTCTGTACACAATTGTAATGTTTGAGCAATGCTTACATGTGTACAGTGGTAATTCAGCCCATTGGTTCCTAGGATGCAGGCAGCTATTGCTGCCTAACAACCTCTGTCTCTGGGATGTAAGTGGCTATTTTGCCCTGCATCCAACATTGCTAGGATGCAGGCGGCTCTGGTACTCCAATAGAGTATTTTTGTGCTGTAAAACAATCCAGTTCATATGCAGATGTCAATTCCATGTCAGATGCAGATTTTTAAATTTCCTTTTGCAGATCAAAACACAGCTCAAGTTTTCTAAGCTTTGGGCCCATAGAAAACAATACACTTGTATTCAGATTCCCAAAAGGTTAACTGATTTTAAACGCTGCATGTTTTGCGGCCGCTTGCATGAGCCCTTACAGTTAAATCCCATGATTTGGCATGGCAGTGTCCTAGTGGTTCTACCTGAACATGTCACCAAATATTCTGTAAGAAAACAACCATGGAAATTCCTGAATCTCCCAGTTTATAAATCTACAGATAATTACACTTCAACAATTTCTCGTTCCTGTCATAACAAGCCATCAACAAGCTTTTCATGGATTAGCAGTCAATGTAATTCATAGAGCGGGTAGGAGTGGGATTGTTATTACACATCCTTTGAAGTTCTGAAATCGGCTTCTATCTCTGATCTCGGTTATGGACAGGTTGCTTTGCAGGGAACAAATCTTGTTTGTTTTTGGGTGTGTCATCTAGTAGGTAAAAACTTCTGTGTTTATTGATTCTTCTTATTTGTGTGTAATATGCTAAAACCAATATTTACAAAAGCAGGTTCTCAGTGTGAAATGATTAAATGATCTGGAACAGACATACTCCTTGACATTCATTACCAATGTAGCATAAATCCATCTTCTGGAGAGAGTGTATAAAGTGTGTGTACCCACTGTATATAAATAAAATCAGGAGAGAGATGGTGCAGCAACCTTGTGTGTTATAAATATATAGGTGAGAAAGATTCAGGCAATGCACTCCTATACCTTCCAAATTTCTGAAATGATCTCCTAGATTGTAAGCTCGAAAGAGTAGGGCCCTCTTACCCCTCGTACGTTGTTTGTTATTGTTGTACTGTGCCATGTATTGCCCCCCTATATTGTACAGCGCTGAGCAAACCCTTTGGCGTATATAAACTCGATGTAATAATAATAATGAGGGACACAGTGTGTGGGCAAAGAACACGTCCCTGTCACTGTTGCGATTACAAGACCATAGGGCCTCTTACACACTGCTACTTGAAAAATGTAGCATTTCTAGGCATACAGGAGTTGCATTTTATCTTTACCTATGTGTATCGCAATCGACGGTTTCATGCATAGGTGCCCCAGGGCGTGCTTTTATGTTTGTATGTGTGTATAGTTGGGGGTGGGGGCCTCAATATTTTTTTTTGGGGGGGGGTGGTTGGGATTGTATGTCCTTGGGTGTAACTTTCATTTTTTACAATAATAAAAAAACAAAACCAATTTCTACTTTTCATCACATAGGGGACAAAGTCCCCTATGTGATGATTTTTGATGACAGGTTGTCTTTGAGACATCCAAGGATCCACTCTGATCCACTGAATGTAATATGGTGCACATCGCACCGTATTACATTCTTTCCCGGGGATTGCATTACAATCTCTCAACGGAGACCCGGAAGTGACATCGCAATGTCGCAAGAAGGGGAGCATACTTGTCTCCTCCCTTCCCTCTAGCCGAGGCCTGCAGTGCTGCCGCCAAATGCTTCCACCTGACCGGTGAGCTTGTCCGCAGCAGGGCTACAGGTAGGTAAAAACTACCTGCCCGGCGCCCAGAACTATATGTCCAGGGCATCGGGCGATAGGAATCCAACATCCCTGAACAGTGTGCAAGTACCCTTAAAGCGACTGTTCAGTATGGAAACAATAATAAGTCAACAGCTGTAGCTGTAGCTGTACCTTCAGAGCTGTGTGCCATAAAAGGTGACTCCCGTGCACATGGCCATTCAAGCCGCCAGAGCCTGTAGACCCAGAATATAGACTGGGTGAGATTGGAAGCCCTGTCAGTGGTGACAGCAGATCGCCAGAGGACTTCGTTTTAAGGTAAGTTTCACATGTGCCAGTATGCGTTGCATACTAGCACATTATGACATTGCCTTGCAGGGGAAAAGGTTTTTTTTTTTTTTTTAATTA